CTTCATGCTACAGAAACCGGGATAAGCTCCGGCCTGACGGGCCACTTGGCTCGCATGCAGACTATGAACAAAACTGTTTTTACAGTATCAGGGGTTTCATTAGCATTTTCAGCAGGAGGGTAACTAGGTTTTACAGCTGGACAAAACTGTTTGAACTGAACTTCTTTAAAGGAGAAACTTTCCTCTAGATGGTCAAACCAAGCGGACAAAATCAACCTCACAGGCGGTCAATTGCCTGGTGTCTGGCCCTTATGAAAACCCTGCAGTATGCTTTACAATGTATCTCCTGTAAATATAAACTACAAATGGTCTGATTGAGTTACCTCCGAAATACTTTCAGAGAAAAATAACATTTAATGAAATAGTGACAATGACCTTTGTGAGGACATTTTTTTGTTGCATTTTGGAGGTTGCTTGTAGGAATTTCACCACGTTTGCTGTTTATCATTGCCTAGCGGTAGCACATCATCAATTATATCAGATTTGAAATTGGAATAGAGCATGTACAACTCCTTACCACATTGGTCGACACAGATAGAAAGTGCTAGGATACACTTTGTTCTGAACGTTTTGGACACTGCATCATCCACACCAGGAGTCTGGCTTATATCAAGGCACTTGATAAGTAAAGACACGAGTCCAAGATCTGCTGAACTATCTAAACAGACTGCTGAAATATTAAAAAGAAAAAAATTATTATACTAATAACCTGTGATACGGTGTATGTAATTATTTTAACATGACTTTGCTATTATAAAAATAGCTTAAGCTATAGTGGCACCATTCCTTGGAACAGTCTTCCTTGTGACTTAAGGGAAGCAGAGTCCCTGGGGCAGTTTAAACGCCTACTAAAAGGAGATGTATAAGGCACGGCATTCGTGGAAAGCAGCTTTTTTATTTCATTATTTTAATCCTATTAGATATTAAGAATTGAATAGATTTGTAGTTAAGCTGACAAATTTTTAACCTTGTTGAAATAAAGATTAAGAATGTATGGTTGCTCTCATCCTCTCTAGCAACAGACAACATATTTATCAAGCCTAGGAGGACCAACCTTTGGTCCATTCTTCTCAAAAATTTTCATGAAACCTCAAGTTAAAGCTTGATTGAGTTTTGAATCAAGTTTCCTAAAGTTGCTTTTTGATCCTCAGAGCTAGTTCTAGCTGTTCACGTTTTCCTGACCTTTGATAAAATGTCCAAGGACGTTAAACTGTTTGAAGGACAGAGATCTTATTGATCCTAAAAACACAATTAAAAAGTGCGCAAAAAGTGACCTACTTCATGACAGAAGTTTCATACTTGTCAACTTGGGATAGAGTTTACATTATATGACCTACCATGACCGGCTATGGCAGATCCTATTGTGTTAACAACGTGCTCTAGAAATGAAATGTCTTGAACAGCTGGCTCCTTGTGTTCCACATGCTCTTTCAGCTGATTAATCAATGCACGCAAGCCTCCCAAGAGACGCCACTTTGACTGGCATTCAGCTGAGTATTAAAAGGGGTCGAGATTTAAGTCGTTTAGAGAGAATTATCTCAAAAAGCAAAGAAGTGTAACATAAAGGAAACTAAGATAACTAAAATCAAGTTGAAAGAAAATTGTGTTCTATCCTAGCCAGAGCGATAGCTAGTAACAGGCAAAACAAGACACTTGCCTGAGTCAGTGGTTTCTGTTGATTTTGTGATGGAGGAAAGTAAAACACTATTGACAACCAAATAAAAAAACAAACAAATAACATTGTCTCAGTCATAATTTTATTTCTGGGTATGCCCCTGGTATGTAAAGGTCTAAAGCTATAGGCCACTGCGTGCATCTACTTACACAGAATTTCTGTTTATAATGAGGCTAGACCTGTAGTATTTTAAACCCTTGAGGGTCTAGACAAGATTGGCATGATGGTTGAGTTTGTCTGGCAACCAACAGTGGATACCATTTGTTCCTCGTGGGTTGAAGTGGAATAAGTAAAATTTACGTAAGAAGTATTTCTCTGTCCATTACATTTACATATCAGATTCCTACCATTTCCAGAAACAATTGCTGAAATTAAGGTGGTTGTTGGTAGAACGATATTCTGTTGTTTTGTGGCCATTTGCAGAATATTCACTATCATGGGAAACAGTCTACAACAAAGTTGCTGATTTTGAGCTGTGAATAACAAAAATATTTAATACCCACTTAACCTGTGTCTTCACTATATATCTTACAGGTAAATCACAGCATAACTGTGGTCCTCAAAGTATGAATATTATCCTTAGGGAGATTAAGCAATGAGCTTCAGCCAGCATGCACATGGCCTTACCGCAGCCCCAGAAAAGGTGAAGAAGAAAGGGGCTCTCCTAAGGCTTTGATGAGATGCTTGCCATATTTTCACTACCATGAAAATAATGTTCCGGTATTGCTAACATGGCTCTATTGCAAACTTCCACAGTTCTTATACTAATACATGTTCCTATAATTACTCATCATTACTCATGTTCCTATAATTACTCATCCTTCAAATTTAGCTGCAAACATTCAACAAGTAGGTCATCAAAAAATGATCACGAATAAAACCTGTTATGCTTGGGACATGGTCAGTACCATATGTACAACACAATAAAAAAACTGCAATCTTAAGAAAACTCATACTTTATCATGAAAAATCATGTTTCTGATTGATCTGTTAGAAACCTCTCATGTGTTAAATAATACAAAAAAGATATTTTTATTTTTAACTGTTTTCTTCACTTACTATTTTGTGGATTTTGTAAAAGAGAATGTAGTGCAACAACTACAGCACTCCACAGATGAAGACAGTTTTCCTCAATATTATTAAACCACCTTTCACTTGTATCATCACAAGAGGAAGACAGTTTATATATTGGAAGACAGCCCCTATAAAGATGGAATTATATTAAATGATGCAATTTGATGCATGTGACAAGAAATGAATAGTTTGGCATTTATTGGTATATTATACAAGCAGCACATACATATATGTAGTATGCATCTTTCAATTTTAACAAAAATACTGCTTTTATCTCGTGTAATTAACAGTTAACAGTAAAATGGAATATGGACATTACATTTTTATGATTTATGGTCATTATATGATGTTTTTTAAAAGAACTTACTTGTATAGATCACATAAACTATGTAAGCACTTTGTTTCTTTTGCAAGATTTTGTCCTTCACCTGCATAAAATTGTAGTAAAAAAGCAAGGAAAAATAGAGAAAGTTGAATATCTGATTGAAGATGGATCACACTCAAGGAGGGGGAGGCAGAAGAGATCCCACTATGTAAAATTGACAGAGTGATCTTTTGAAATCTAGAAAATAGAACTAAAGGTATGTGTCCCCTTGAATTGATGCATGTGGCTTGAATTTATTTCCAACCCTATAAGAGACTTGTTTTCCTTGATAAGTCATTCCTGTCATAGCTACATCAGGCTCTAATAATAATCATTCATTTTAACCCCCCTTACGTGATGATCACAGTTTAGGATCTTTACACAGATTTTTTTGGTTACTAAGTTTGTTTTGTGTAGGCCTGCTGTTTGTTGAATCACCATTTTTCTTATTTTTTCAGGCTTCATTTTTGCAGCTGCTTAAGTTGTGTACATAACTGGGATGAGTGTGCTTACAATTGCCATCACAAATGGTCATTAGTAAAAAAGCTGATGTTGTAGCAGCAGGTCTGTTCTTGGCTTGTAAATGTAACCGCAGTAGTTGGAATACACTCTTCTTTGTCAAAGTTCTTTGAGAAAAATCTAAAAACAAAATCATAAAATTGGTAAAAGTTAAAAACAGAGTTTAACACAGTATATCTAAGTTATGCAAAAGTTGTTGGATTCTGTTTTTTCATATAACTATAAAAGTTATATATGATGCAATAATAACATTGTCTCAGGTCCATGTAAGGTGATGTTAAGTCTACATGAGCTAAGTGGCCCATCAGGCTGGAGCTTATCCCAGTTTCTGTAGCACAAAGTGACTAGGAGTATTTCTATTGCCATCTGGATGGGATGCTACTCAATTGCAGGGTTACCCCTGGCATTAAATTTGCCAGTACTCATTTATAAACCTGGGTGGAGAGAGGCACTGTGAGAATAAAGTGTCTCTCAATAGTACATGACCCAGTGCCCCTGGCCAGGGCTTGAACCTGGACCACTCAATCCAGAGACAAGCGCACTAATTCTGAGGCCACTGCGCCTCCCACAAAATTGGTGATGCAATAATTGTTTCAGTTCAGTGTCTTTGTGTTTCATTTTTTCCTCACAAAACTCACCATTTCCTTCTGTGGCCATGGCCAAAGTATACAGAGCTGACTGACAAACTGCAGGACTTTCTGTGATTTTACACAGACTCAGCACATACTCCACTCCACTTGATGAACAAAAATAGTCTTGTGCCCTCTCTAGGAAGAAAGTGCTTTAACTCTTGAAGCCCCAAGAGCAATACATTTTACTGAATAAATGTTATAAAACGATGGTTAATGGTGCTAACACAGAAAGGAGTGACTATGAATCTGATTCACATGACAAGAAATGTTGTACAGATATTAAGGGGGGGGGGGGTTGTAGTTTTCTAAGCCACTGTAAAATCATTTTTTCCTGATATTATTGGAGACTAGGTTTACAAGTAATTACTATTCCAAATCTATTGTGACTGTTACTGACTATAGTAGGTGCTTCTGGCCTCAACATACAGCCATCCTTTCTACTTGTTCAGTAAGACTAATGCATTTTCAACAAATTAGCCTTCTTCATTAAGGAAAGGTATCATTAAGACCACAGTGACCCCAAATGTTTTTTCGAACCTTCATTGGTATTAAATCATCCATGTTAAATTATTTCAATATTCCCCAACTTTCCTTCAAAATGTCAATTTTCCCTGACTCACAATATAATTCGCTGACTTTTCCCTGACCTCGAAGAATTTCTTTCCCTGACCATTTCCTGCATATCTGTGGCAACCCTGTTATTGTTTAACACCTGATCAAATGACAACTAGAGTTGACATGGGTTTAAAGATAAAGGAATGCTTTTCAGCTGTCTTCTGAGTGTGGACAAATGAGCTGACAGAAAACAAGAAAAGCACATATTGACAAAATATGACCCACACCACATGAGCTCACGTTTAAGTGGACCTTGCATTAATAAACACGTAAATCATAATTCACTTACTATTTTGAGAGAGAATTTCACCAAGGGCCCTCAAAGCTTGTTGCTGCTGAGATGGATCGTCTTTCTGATATTTCATGGACTCTACAAGTAGCTTCACATCTTCAATCTCTTTCTTCGATTCAGAATGAAGATCACCACTGCCAGTATTCATGATACATGTAACTAACAGAGACTGTAGGAAGCTAACTTATCTGCAAATATAAACAAATGAGGTCCCAGACAACGATAACGTCTCAAGTTTACATTAAATTTTCTCTGGTACCATTCCTGGTTAATAGTAAATCGGAGTGACCTCCCAATATCAGGACGGACCGATATTTACAAGCAAACAACAGAAGGCAACCGTGGAAAAGAAGCTATGCTTGTTAAGAACAACAAAATTACCGGTAAAACCTCATCATACGTACCTGTTTCAGCTGTTTTGTAAAAACAAAATGGCTAACAACCGTCCTAAAACCCAGTTTTTCTCGATCCATGCAATTGTTTCCTCCTCAGGAGGGGTGGACTAGAGCGGTTTTCGAGTGTCGTAAAACCAAAACCAAACCAATTACTTGCCAATTAGACTATTCAGCCAATCTCAAACCGAAGTAAAACCAAAACCAAAACCAAAGTAATTGTCTAATTACTTTCGACACTCAATTGAAAACCGCTCTAAGACCTAAGATTATTTAGACCAATGTTACCCAGAATGATACAGGCATAATATACAGTTTTAGTCAAGCCTAAAAGCGGAGCTCCTGGGCCGCTTTGTTAAAAATCCGATTAAGCTAACCCAGGATAAGCGATAATTTTGATTTGAGTTTTGTAACTTAGCGGTAAGGTTTTCTCTTTATATTTTTGGCCTTCTGTTTTGATCTTGAATAATCTCAAGTCCTTACCCAAAAGCCGTGAAAAACACTTGTGTAGACAATTATACTTCTGTTAACTTTTAATCCTGCGTTAGCGTTAACCCAATTTCCGAACAACCCGGTCCTAAATACAACAATTAACCTGGCATGAGTCCCCGATCCTATCAAAAACAAGAACTTGGCCAGCGGTCAACTTTAACAAAAAGCAAGACCTGGATGAGCTATAAACCTGAGCCGGCTATATGGTCACGTAATACTGGTCAGAATATACCTTGTTTTGACAGGTGTCAATTGACAATAACATAGAAGTCAAATATCAAAGACGTACGCTGTAAATCAAGACTTATGGCCGCCATGTTACGCAACATGTTGCATTGCCGTCGCGATCCAGGCCGCTACCAGTGTTGACCATGAAAAAAGAGTTACATGCGTATGCTGCCCGTTTTAGGAACCTTTCGTGTACTTTTTTCTCTTAGTCATTGGTACTAAAGTACTAACCCGTATGCCCAGTAAACTACCCTTACCAATAGCGTGTATTACTCGTATATACTCCTAGCGTACCAGGCGACCCAAAACCCCAAAGATAAGCGCCTATTAATCGCCAAAATCAATCAGCAATAATCGCTTCAATAGCATGGATACTGTTAGTACTAGCGTGCTACTAAATCCATAGGCGAAGACTGTGCACGTACAAACGTGATTACGTACTAAGCGTACGAACAACTGATGAACATATAGCCACAAAAATCGGAATAGTACCAGTACTAGCGTACTAAGTGCCACCATTACCGAAGATTCTGCACGTTCTATAATACCAGCGTACTAAGGGCCGCCATAACCGAATATTGCGCACGTAATAACGTGATTACGTACTAAACGTACGAACAACCGATGAACATATAGCCGCAAAAATCGGAATAGTACCAGTACTAGCGTACTAAGTGCCACCATAACCGAAGATTGTGCACGTACTAACGTGATTATGTACTAAGCGTACGAACAACGGATCATGGAACATATAGCCGCAAAAATCGGAATAGTACCAGTACTAGCGTACTAAGCGCCACCACAACCGAAGATTCTACACGTACTAACGTGATTACGCACTAAGCGTACGAACAACCGATGAACATATAGCCCCCAAAATCGGAATAGTACCAGTACTAGCGTACCAAGGAACTACTTCCCTCACCGAAGGGTTACCTAAAGTTCACAATAACTAAAAATTAAACAGCTAATAAAATCATAAATACATAGATGTAGATTACCAGCTTACTAAACTGCCACCTATGAAGCGTTGATAAAAAGGCGACTTTTTATTACGTAATTTCAATGACTGGACATGGGTTGTCTACTGTGCCATCGAGCAGAAGGATCTTAGGAGATGACCTTGGGGCCCTGGGGACGAGAATGTGCACGGGTGGATTAGGACAGAATTGTTTTGGCGTTCCTGGAGTGATCATCGAAATGGAGAATCGAAAGCGGAGGAAGCATCAGGCCGATCTATTCTCTCCTGAGGCCATTAGATCTCGTTTGTCTGCCAAAAAAAAGTTAGAAGCGGATATAGATAGTCATGTGGAATTTCTTTGCAGAGTTGACCTCAACGCAGTGGACAACCTCAAGGAAGATGAAGCGCTCGCGATATTGTCGGCCAAGCTCACTTTGAATGGACTGTCAGTCTTGAAGTTGGCCATGAATCATGTACCATGTACGTACACGATGCGTTGCAGGGAATTCCAAGACTTTCCTTTTCGTACTGTTTTAATTCACAAGATTGTTACTGCCTGTTGTAGCTCTCGTTCCCTTGATTCGCTCGCCGATGTTCATCTGTATGTCAGTTTCCTTGAAAAGTATTGTACGGAATTCCTCTGTACTCCCAAGGTTCTACCGCACGACAAACTTTGGAAGCTATGTGAAAACGGTGGATACCGTTACACGAAATTTTTGTCACCTCCGGTAAAATCTTGCCTGAACTGTGAGGAAGGCATCACGATGCACAACCCACCCTCGAAAGCCAAATTGTTCACCCTTCAAGGCCCTATTCCTTCGTCGAAAATCACCCTTGAGTGCAAAGGTTGCAAAATAAGCTATGGGATAACAAAATTCACGGATAGTACAGGAGCCCATTTCTATCCAAATTCAATATCAAGTGATGTGATACAGATGACAAACACCTCATACAGGGGCGGATCTAGGGGGAGAGTACAGGGGTGCGCACCCCACCC